CACTGCTGATGTCCGCAGTAACACTGCCTAGACACAGTGTCCTGAGATGGATGAGAATATGGGGTAATGAAAGCATCACTGTTTGAAACAGGAAAAAAAGAACTCTATCAATAGATCAGGCAAGAAGACAGTGGGATAAAAGTACGAGTTATTTAATTTTACCATTTTCAGACTTTTTTTCATTCAAAAGAAAAGTTAGTAAAGAGAATTCAGAATATGTCTTCTTCCTGAATCTATCAGCCCATTTTCTTAGTTTACAGAATTGCCAGATGCTCTAACCACCCCTCACGCTCAGATGGCACCTTTTCAACACCAGCAAGCTGTGTTAACATAGAGTAGATCAGCACCACAGATATCTGCACATTAAGATGCTCTATGAATGCCACCAGGGAAGAAGGAAGGGAAAAAAAGACACAATTCACTTCAAACCCGCATGATTGGTAAACAAAAGATCAATAGGGGAAGTAAAAGTTGGTGTGACTCACAATCCTACCACTATAGTTCTTTGAGGAAAAGATCCCTAGGAACAGGCAAATAATGCAGCCTAAAGCAAAATACATCAGTAGTGATAGAAAAGAAAAGAGCTAAGCAGAACAGGCAGGAATTAAGATAACTTTGTGCAGAATGTTAGGAAAAACTTACTAAAAAATACAGTGCCGTCAGTTGTGAAGCTTCCTAGGGGCTGTCACAAGATCTTTTCAAACAAATGGAGGTAGAATACTGGGAAACGTACCACAGCAGCAATCCTGCATTGCAGGAAGATATGGGGTACCTTTTCCTGGCATCTGTCTGTCTTTTAAAGTAAATCACAGAATCACAGAATCACCCGGGTTGGAAGGGACCTCAAGGATCATGTAGTTCCAACCCCCCTGCCTGGCAGGGCCACCAAACATACACATTCAGATCAGGTTGCCCAGGACCCCGTCCAACCTGGCCTTGAACATGTCCAAGGACGGGGCATCCACAACCTCCCTGGGCAGCCCGTTCCAGGGCCTAACCACTCTCCTTGTAAAGAACTTCCCCCTAACATCCAACCTAAATCTTCCCTCCTTCAACTAAATGAGAAAAGATAAGGGAGAGCTTGAGGCAGCAAAAAAGTTTTTCAGAGGTCCATAATGGATGCTTAGGTCCTAAACCTGTCATTTTTAAAATCACCCTGTAAGAACAATGGCTCCTTATGTTTTAAGGACGAGAATTCTCTTCAGGTTATTTTGGATCATGCCTCACTGAGCAGCCCCCAATCCACATACTGGCTCTGACCAGGCTTTTTTTCCATCAAGGATCCAGTCCATGCTGTGGTTTTCACACACCTTAGACTGAGGTCAAAGAAGAGGAAAAAACTCTTACAATGACTCTGCTAGCGTGTCCTGGCACCACTGGTCCTTACCTGCTGCCATGTGTTAAGCTGAACAGCTTAGTGTAACAAGGCTGCTGGACTAGAGTGAAATTAAATATTCCTTGAAGCTAAAGGAGGGCTTCTAAGTTTCTAAAAGGCACGCTCCCTTCTTGGGGTGTCTCGTTAGGTATTACGTTTCCTTTTGTGCACTTCTGAATCCCATCTCAGGCACCATATGCAAACTGCAGGTGTTTAATTCAAAGCTGAGATGTAGATAATCTCTGTACTATCTTTACGTTACCTGGAATTTTCCAGAAATGTAGAAAAATGCCCTATCACTTAGTTATTCTCAAACTGAGAAAGTGAGCAAAAAAATCCTTTATTTGTCTAGGTTTTCTTGCCCCACTAAAATCGATTACTTCTTTTTCAGTTGAGTATTTTGAAGAGGAACCTGAACCAGATGAATTATGCAGCAGTCCACGTTTTCATCAAAGCTGAGGAAAGATTAAAATGTCTTGTAGCCTCTAAAATAACAACCAAAACTCTGAAGTGCAGCTAACCCACAAAGTCCAAAGCAGGTTTGCTCTGGCTTTTAGGCTCATTTCTCTTTTGAGTGTTATTTTAGGCCATTTCCTATGGAAATCAAACTTTCTATGATGCTTTTGCCTGTCAGCTATATGTCAGTCTCTCTCTAATAACTGTTCATCCACTCTGTGCACTTCAGCTGGATCCAAAAGACTTGTTGACCTCCACGATAATTAGATTTCTATTTAATAGCTGTAGTGGGTAAGACAAATCTGGACATAGTGCACATTCTTTGTAGAAAAGACTTATTAACACCTGCTCACAGACCAGTTTATGTCAACACTAACATCCTTCAGGGCATTTAGGGAGTATCAGTGGTATAGGACAAGCCTATAGGTTTGCACTTTCAGGACTACAGTTTTACTGTACAGTTCTACTGTACAGTTTGTAGTACAAAGCTAAATTTCCTTTACATCTGTCAGCTAATTGGCATCCATGAAAAGAAGTCTACTTGTTGGTTGGAACTGAACAACACAATCCAATCCATCAAAACCAAAGATACAAAAACTATTACAGAGATTTTGCCACATCAATCTTGTTAGTCCAGCAGAAAAAGAATTTGCTGTTCCTTGAAAGAATATTGTACACATCACCAGAAGGCAGATTCCTGCAGAATGGTATTCTTGGACACCATACATACAAACAAAGACAATCAGGGATTCAAACTGATGAAGGCTTTGGATTGTTCTTCTACCAGAGAGTTTGACTGCTCTCAGCAAGGTGTGAACTAGTGACCCCTAGTAGATCCTGGAAACATGGCTGTAATTACTTAGTTTCCTGTTTTCTGTACAAATAAAGTATGCTTTACTTAAAAATAACAAAAATTAAGTTTGTCTGGATAGTAGAAAGGAAGACAGTGTTCCTACTCAGTCCTCCTGCTGTGTTCTGGATGAGGTGGGCATCTCCAGGAGGAAATGAGAGCCCACTGGACTGTACAGTCTTGAAGGTATTTTCTAACCAAAATGATCCTATGATTTTAACATAGGAGACAGAAGTTTAAGTGTGATTCAAAACTAACTCAAAAATTGATGTTTCTAGGAATGGAAAACTATTTCCATGACTACTGTAAGCTATATAATGGTTCAGCAGCAAGGTCTTGCATGCAACTCCAGAGGTACCACAGCATCCATCTCAGCCCATCAAGTTTATCATCAGCCTTTTTCATGCTTCGGTCATAATACTGAGAGTAGCCAGAGGCAAAAAAATCCATCCATTTCTAAGAGAGCAACATGCAATTTAGTTAGTGATTGCTGTATATAACTGTTTCAATCATCTAAATTAAAGAGGACCAGGCTAACACACCAGATAACCCTTCAGTGGCTACAAAGGTAACATTATCTACTATGAATCTATCCGCAAAGCTGATTAGCATTTTGTTAGCATAATGAGTGGAAAGCAACAGAGGCTTTAACCATCTCCCTGAGACACTGTTTGCCTGAGAAACTGAAGAACTGGGTTTTGCTCCTCCCTTACTTCACATCATACCCCTCCCCAGATGTTCCCATCTCTAGCCAATTGAGTCAGATTCAGCAGCTCTTTTCAGCTGCTCTGCTACTTTCTCCTTTAAAAATAAACCAAAGGACAAAAAAAAAACAAACAAAGAACAAGATAGCTTTTTCTTGCATGCGACACTAACTTCCTGATATATGAGAAAACATGTCTGCATGACCCAGAACCAGGAGTTACACACTTTTTTTTCTCCTGTTTCTGTCTGTAGGATGCTTCCAACATATTGATACATACTGATCTGTTCTCTCAGCAAGATACAGTAGCAGTGGTTTCTGCCTTGTGTGGTTAAGTTTGGTGGTGGTGGAGCAACACACTCAGTAGTTACAGCTACAGCTGGAGGCCTAAGGGACATCATTGGCCATAAGACTCTCTAAACCTTATGGGGAACAGCAATGCTGTCTTCCCCAGCACGCACAATGAAAAACAGATGCATTCAGTAGATGCTTGTAAGCAGAAAAGAAGCCAAGCAATCAGTTTTAGAGGAAAAAAGACACAGGTTTCCATATTTTTAGCATCCTGGGGTTGCTAAGCTTTGCAGTTCCCATTCTCTTTTCAAGAGATAAAAGCAGTGACGGCACCCACAGCTGCTCATGGAAACCAACAGGTCCTCACATGTATGCAATCAAAGACACAAACCAAGCCAGAGAGTTCAAACCTTCCTTCTCTGCTTGCTCCCCACTGAAGGGCCACTAGAAGCAACTCATATTTCCTCAGCTTCTCATGTGGAAGAACAGCAGCAGAACAGCAGCGTCACTGCTGTCACTGCAGAGCTTTGTGCCTATCCTTTGCCCTCTGCAGTAACTGCTCAGGTTGTCTTCCTCTCTCGTATTCATCTCCACAGCTAAGTCCTGCTGCTTCTTTTCTCCAGGAAATCCTCCAAAACAGCCAGCTCTTTTGCCACCAAATCCATAAAAAGCCCTAAAATCTAGGCAACAATAACACAAATACAGCAGTATTTCTAGGCACTGTTTGATTTTCTTAGATACAGGCTACAAAAAGATGACATTAAGGTTCAGTATGCACTGGTGATTCGTGGTTTTGGAAATACCTGGTCTTCACCAAAAAAAAACAAAAAACAAAAAACAAACAAACAAACAAAAAACAGGTATTGAAAAGAAATCCTCAAATAATTGCTACCAACTTAAGCTACAAACACGCTACATCTGGAAAAGCACGATCAGAGCACTCTAAATAACCTTACTTCTGCATTATAATGAAATAAAAACCACCATTGGTCCCAATTCACTTGCTTTTAGAGACATTAGATCTTCAGTTTTATTTTTACTTCTCCCTCTTCTTACCTTTTCACTACCCTGCTCTTATTAACTTGTATTACTATCAGCCGTTCGGAAACAAAGAGAAAGCCCCCAAAATTACAGCTCTTAAAGCTCTTTAAAAATGACTACAACTTAGAGTAGAGATAAGTTATCCAAATTCTGTATTTACAGTAAGCACTGCCATGCAAGAGAGCACTGTGACAGCACTGAAACCCCTACTACACAGACAAAACCTCCTTCTCTTAACTATGGACCCATCTTTACAGCTTTTTATTTCCTCTTTCAGTACTTACTTGTTCCCTTGCCCTTCCACTTTCTGAAGTATGAACCACGATGCAACAGTGAATGAACTTGAAGAGTATCAGAGAAAACCTGTGTGAGAAATACGAAACTATGGAAAAGGGTTTCTAATAGGGTGAAATGTATCTTTCATGGATTTACTCAGCACAAGCGATGCTCTGCTGGAAACAGAACACAACATATTTCAGGTTTGAAGTAAAGGCTGTTTTGGTGAAAGGTCCAAAAGAGGATGGTTGGAAATCAAGGTCAGGATGGATGCACAGCAGCCATGTAAATGGGAACTTTTCTTGTGGTCTAGTGAATAATTCAAGGCCAACATTTTTGCTTTGTAACAGGGTATATCAAAGCAGTGAGTTAGAAACAGGCAGGCAAAAGTCAGAACTAGAGACAGTAACAGAGCAAATGCACTGCCCTGTGAAGTACGCTCGCTTTCAGATAATCACTTATCACAGCAGTTCTGTGATAGAGGCAACAGACCCTTCCCTTCTCCTTGCTGCATTCGGTTTCACACACGGCTATCTGCCCTGAGCACCAGAACAGCTTGCTTGGTTTCTGCCAAAGCAGCAGCCCTTGCTTATGGAGCTCTGTATTTGGTTGTAAGCCACTGAACATCAAACAGCACAGACCCTTTCCTTATCACAACTATTTCCCTGAAGTGCCCAAGAATGACCACATCTCGTTCAGCACTTCTCAAGCTATCTTCAGCTCCAAACTTAGATTCTTCCACTTCACCCCTTATATTACTTCTAGTGCTTTGTTACAGAACAGAAATGCACCAAATGAAATGTGGGGCCGAATGGATTTCTTGACAAATTTCTCACTGAAATCAAGAGGGCTGGAATTTCATCTGTACGCTTCAAGATGATAGGAAGGGAGTGTTCACATTTATGAAATGGGGGTTGGATATTTATGTGGTGGCTATTTCTGATTGTCACTGCAAGGGCATGTAATACACAGCCAGTCTGCAAGGAAATGGGGGCAAAATTCAAGCAGCCAGGAGGAAGACACCTGTGTTCCTCACATCACAGACGTATTTTAGGTGGACATGCACATTTATCTCAATTTCAAGCTATTTCTGATTATGAAACATTCTACAGCACAGTATGAATGTTGTACTTAAGCTGTTGAGAGCTTTTAACTGCTAAATATTCTGTAAAATGTTCGGCGTTATTGAGAAACAAAATGATTTTCATCATACGTAAAAATGTCATCCGTTTAAAAGTCCAAAACAAAGCGTCATTGAATTTCACATAAATGTGATGCTGTACTTCATTCCAAGGTGGAGAAAAATCTTAAAATAATCTACTTTGTTGTTGTTGTTTTAGTACATATACAAGCACAGTGTCTGTAAAATAGCCACCTTCCTAGGTTTATAACATGGTGACAGCTTTGCCCACCAATAGATGGAAGAGGGCACTTGCTAGGACTGCTGACATACCTTCAGCTGTAGGTGCTGGAACACGCTGCCGGAACCCTTTGTTAATTTGAGGTTGCAGGAATAAATAATTAGTGGGGGTGTCTGATTACCCCACAGCAGCACAGGTCCTGATGTATCTGTCGCTGCACCTCGCCATGACGGCTATCTGGAGATGCAGCAGACTGCATGTCGAACCTGCATGCAGCCTCTCTTGTGTCCACCCCCACAAACACCGTTCTCTCTTTCCTAAAGGGAGAAGTCTCGTACATCTTCAAGACCCCAAACGTGATATTTTAGCTGTGAAAATTAATAAGGCAGGAAGAAAACACCGAACACTAACAGCCTATTCTTAACAAGAACTCTTCAAAATGAAAATTACTGATACCTCAGTCTTTTCAATCTCCAGTTTCTAAAGCTCCTTCATTTATACAGAGATAATTAATAGAGCATTGAGCAATTAGGGACAAATGAAAAGTTTGATGACAATTAATGATGAAGTACCTGCTGGTGACAACACAAGATAACAATTTTTGATCTTCTCATCCATAATGCATACACTGACTGAGCACTGCAAATTACTGTTGTGCTCTATACAGCCAGCACAAGGTAAACCTGACTTAAACTGAATGCATTTGTACACTTCGCACCTCCAATTGACACAACAGCATGCATCCCCACTACTTAATGTACCCCAGTATGCAAAGTATTTAAAAGAAATACACATATATGTGTTACATATGTGTTCATATGCATATTGGCACACCGCCTATTAGCTTAAAAGTAACCCAGGAAAGTGTTACAAAAATGTACCCATCCTCTGTTAAGAGTACCAAATGTCAACTTCTGATTGAATGATATTGGTTATTGTGCGTATGCAGTCACCTAACTTGTGTGTTCAGAATTGCAGGGAGATTATCTGCCATCACCTATAGCATGTCCTCAGATCTGAGCTGTGTTTAGAAAGTAGATACGTAGACAACACGCTTTTGTGCTTGAAAGCCAAGCAAATGTGAAGTTCAATTAGAAAAAAATAAAGTACTTATAGATTCATACTTAGGGTATGGGCACCAAAATATTTTGCACTGTAGCATCTCTGTTTGCATTTAAAGAACGTGATTGTGAATCAGTGAACATTTGATGGTAGCAGTTCTAGGTTACTGTAGTGCTGCTGTATTACAACATGGAAAGCCACGTTTGTTTTCTCCATAGGCTTTAATATGAGGCTTCTTGCATTGTGTTAATATTAAGCACATTCTTGGGTTAAAAGCCAGTGTCAGGGATGAGCATCACCAATGCCTGCCTGCTGCGAGGGCTGAACAGCCCCCTGGAGCCACCAGCACCCCGTGTGCAGTGCAGGGAACAAAGAACACAGCAAGACCCGTGTTCTGTGCATCACACTCACACCAGTGTTTGCCCTCAGTTTATAAGGAGCTGCAGCTTCAACCAGATGCTAATTTATAAGGAGCTGTAGCTTTAACCAGAGGTTGCCCAGATGTTCTGGTAACAGCGTGCTGGAATGTATTCACACCAATTCAAGAGATGACCATTAAAAAGCAGACCTAAAACACCTCGCAAAGCAAAACGAGAATGACATTTTATATTCACAGCTAACCCACACGGGCAATAAAACTAACTGGCTCCGAAACTTCGCGGCTAAAGAAGGCAGGGAAGGAAGGCTCCTGGGAGCTGAGTGCCACATCCACCCGGAGCTGTGCCACGTCTTGTCGAGACAGCAACTTCTGCACCGCGCTCAGCCTTCACTTCCAGAGCGCCGCGACTTCGTAACGCCGTGCCACAACACCAACCTCTGTCGCTACGAGTTTTAATGAATCCCTTTGATAGGCGTTTAATAAACGTGTGGTGTGGGAGAGAGAACCGTTATCGAGCCCCCCTCAGCCCGCCGTTCGCTGCTTCATCCCGCCGCGCCGGCACAGCGCGATGCCAAGCCGCGTAGGACCGGACAGCGGCTCTCCTAAAAAAGAATCCACTCGCTCACGCCCTAAGGTTGGAATCCGGCTCTCTAGGAGAGCGTTTAATCCCTTCAAGGTTTGTTACACACAGCCGCAAACTTTCAGATGAGGGGAAAAAGAGGCACAAGTTGTGCAGCGCGAGCCTGAGGTAATGACGGGCGCCTGAAATAATTAACTTCGGAACGACGCTGCACCTTCTGAAAATGAAGATCGCGAACTCTCGCAAATACGATACTGCTGTTCGTAACATAAGGCAGGAGAATTAACACAGCGTTCCGCCGCTTTCGCGGCTCTGAGCAGCGCCTTCTCCCCCTTCTCGCTCCCAAAGCCGCCGCCGCCCGCCCCGCATCCCACACGACGCGATTTAGGCTAAAATCCACCGAGCCCCGCCGGCGCGCACCGACACACGGCCCCAGCTCCGGGCACCGCCGCTCCCACCCCGCCGGGCGATGCCGCCCGACCCTCAGAGTTGCTCTCGGGGCTCGGGGCACTTACGATCCGGAGGACGCCCTGGAGCAAGACGAGCGGCAGCGGCTGCAGGTGCACCATGCTGGCTGCCGTCTACGAGGCGAATCCCTTCGCGCCGGCCTCGCGCATCTCCGCTCCGGGGAGAGGGGGAGGGGGGGGGCAGGACGGAGCGCGGGGACGCGCTGTCCCCTCACAGGGCGCGGACGGGCGGCGGAGAGCACCCAGCACTGCCCCGCCGCTCCGCGCCGCGCCGCTCGGCTCCGCGGGCGGCCATGGCGGGCGGGCGGACGAGGACGGGGGGGGGAGACAGAGGAGGCGGGAAGGAGGCGGCCGCACCGCCGACTCCGAGCTGCGGGGACCCCTCAGAACCGGGGCGGGGTGGGACCGGGCTTTGAGGTGGACCTTCCCGGCAAGTTTAAAGCCGAGGCGCAGCGGCCGCCCCCTCCATCCCTCCGAGCTGCCGGGGCGGTCCGTGCCCCCCCGCAGCCCGCCCTGACCTCGCACCCCGTGCTCGTTCTGAAAGGCGTGAGAAGCGTCCCGCCCCACTGCCTGGCGCTTCTGTGCTTTCCTCGCGTGGGTCTGAACCCCCAGCCGCACTGGAGGTGGGAGGTTTCAGTTTTCAAACCCTGCCCGTTATTCACAGTTTAGTTTCCTAATTCTCGCGGCTCTGTCGCGTCTTGTCACCACACCCGTGTTCAGGTTACACTTTGACCAGCCCTGCGTCTTCAGCTTTTAAAACACCCGGCGGTGATAAGAGCTTTGGAAGCGCCTGGGAGAAGCCGTGAGTTTAACGCACGACAGCGGTGATTCCTGGGGGTTGCGTCCCACTGGCTCCGTCCTTAGACCTGCTGCTGGATGTCTGACAGAACGTGTCATGGGATGCGAACGAGCCACAAATTGCATTAATATCATCACAGAATCATAGAATCATGAAGGTTGGAAAAGACCTCTCCCATCCCCAAGTCCAACCCCAGCCCACCCCACCACGCACACTGACACAGCCCTCAGTGCCACATCTCCACAGCTCCTGAACCCCTACAGGGACGGTGACTCCACCACCTTCCTGGGCAGCCTCTGCCACTGCATCGCTGCTCATTCTGAGATGATTTTTTTTTTTAACCTAATTCCTCCATTTAAGTTGAGAAAATACACTGAAGCATGGCAAAAGGAGCTTATATCTAAACTGTACAGCTCTAAAATGGAAACTAAATCTAAACGGAACTACTCTAAGGTGGGTTAATATACACCAGACTCGGGAGATTCAGAGAAATACCCAAACCAGAGGCACTCACTGAATCAATGAAGGCTGCTCCGAAAGTAGTGCCTCCTATTTTATGATGTTAGCCCATGATCTCACAGGCAGATGTTGGGGGTACAGCAGTAGAAGTTGAACCTTCCCACCAATATTCTGTGATATTTTGTTGTTGCTGTGCCACACATGGGCAGCAGGGGGGCAGACAGAATGGCAGACAGAATGACATGGAAGGGTGTATGGAGCAAAGGTGTGTCACTGAACTCTTCCATGTGGAAAAAATGGCACCCATTGACATTCAGTTAATGACTGCTGAACGTTTATGGAGACCAAACAGTGGACGTGAGTACAATGTGGGGTGGTTGGTGTGTTTCAGCAGTGACAACTGTGGCAGTGGGTCACCTCCCCTGGGGCAGATTGTTTCGAGCTTGGCATGCAGGCTCCTGCTCATCACTGGCAAAAATGCATAGCTGACGGTGGTGACTATGGTGCAAAGTAGTGTTTTGCAGCTGAATTTGCTCTATCAAATAGTGCTACTGTGCTCTTTGTGTCTGGAGTAGTTTCCATTGAATTAAACAGGAGGCATTACTTTTGGAGGTAGCTGTGCACTATAATATAACACAGTTAATTTTTTTAACACTATCAAAAAGTTCTTTTTAAACCTTGACTTTTAGCGACCTTTTTTAATATAGAATAATCAACATAAGCCACATAAGTTAGGACTTAAATATCAGAATGTAAGCCCCCAACTCTCTTCCTACCAGGGCAAAAGAAACGGCGATCCCTACAGCACACGTGTGAGTGGAAGGATCTCTGGCTGCACGCTCGGCTGTCCCTGCGTCCTGTGCCCGGCCTCGGCTCCCTGCAGCCCATGCAAACTCCTCGGGCGCTCTCTGCTGCTCGCAGTGCCTCACTGCCCGCAGAGCCGCTGTGAGGGCTTCGTTTCCTCGTGACGAATCGCATTATGCAGCGGGGTGAAGAGTATTATGCAATTAGACTTATGAAGACTGAAGTCGGATGAAGTATTTAGATAGATTTTTTTTTTTTTAAATGAAAAGCTGGGCTCTATAAATTCAAGGAAAGCTGAATTTCTGTAATTGGCTTTTAATGGAACAATAGCGTTTAAACTAAAGTACTGTAGTTCTATCCTATTAAGTACAAACAGACTCAATTTCAATGACACTGACTTTGTCACACAAGCTATCAGAAGCTGGGCCTAAATCATACTTTTTCCAGATTAACCAGCTGCAAATGTTTGTAAAGCTCTTTGAAGATGAGAAGTACCATGCACTTTAAGTGATAAGAAGTATTGTTATTTGTACTACTTCCCAGAAAAGTCACAGCAGTGTTGGTTAAGAACGGGATGTAAGGCTGAGCTCTGCATTCCCTGCATGGCTTTGGCTTCAAACATCATTGGAATGGGGAAGTGAAAATTTTCTGGTCTAATTTTAAGCACAGTAACAAATAGTTGCTTAATCTCAGGAAATAATATTTGCAGGAATTAATCCTGCTGTTCCATAAATGAATTGATGATACGGCTGCCAAAAGTGAAGTGAGAGCTAGGTCCTGCTTTGTTTTGAGACAGTGAAAAATACCTGTTTAACACATGTTCTGTAGTGCTCATGCACAAAGTCAATAGTGATGTTTGTTCTTTGTCAAGTTGTTTATAAACACAAACAAGTTCAGCCTGTAGTTAACACTGAACTCATCTGTCATTTGACCCTAATTCAATTCTCATGTGCTCCACACTGATTTAAACCATTGGCTTTGACCACTGCTCTTGGCTCTCTGTAAGTGTGAACAGATTCCACGTAAAATAAAAAAATAAAAACTCCTTGAATCAGGATGAGTATCTAAATTTAGATGCTAGCAGTCTTGCGGGACATTATTAATGTTTATTCTGTCTCTGTTGGAAATGCATTCAGTGATACATGGTGTTATCCTATTTTCAGTTTCAAGAATACGTCACGTACTTGACTGTAGTGCATCTCCTTTGCTTTGCTGTAAGCAATAACTTCAACCTTCCATTAGAATTCTTCTTGTGGTCCCTGATGTGTGTGACTGGGTACGCTGTGTGATTCTGTCTTCTTTCTTTCTTCTGTTTCAGTTGTTCCAATAACGTTACCCAGATCCTCCACGCTGCTGACAGCCTATGAGCTCTGTGTCACCAACATGTTTCAGCAGTATGCTCTTAAGTTTTAACTACTAATTAACTTATTGAATAGTAGTGGTCCCAGGATCAATCCTTGATGAACTTTTTTATTTCATTCCAGATCTGTAATACCACCTGTTAAATCATACCTTACGCTCTACTTAACTTTTTCCTGATCACTTTCTACAGCATATCCAATTTTTTCCCCACGGGACATCCAATCCCATTTTGACTGAGGTCTTGATAGATGACTCTATTTCACGTGTCTAAAAAATTATTAATGTCATCAATGATTGGTAATGAAATGATCATCCTACTTGACAAACTTCCATTTTTTGAGGGGGAAGAAAAACATAGAAAATAAGACAAGGAGGAATGGTTTTATACTAAGGCAGGGGAGGTTTAGGTTAGATATTAGGAGGAAGTTTTTCACACAGATATGAAGCACTGGAACAGGTTGCCCAAGGAGGCTGTGGATGCCCCAGCCCTGGAGGCATTCAAGGCCAGGCTGCATGTGGCTCTGGGCAGCCTGGTCTGCTGGTTGGCGACCTGCACATAGCAGGCCTTGAAACGAGATGGTCAGTGTGGTCCTTTTCAACTCAGGCCATTCTATGATTCTTTGAAAAACCACTCAGTCCAACACATTTATTCCATTTTCTATTTACCTATGTTTTCAAGCCTTTTGTTTTTTTTTTTCTATTTCCAGTGGCTGTGCACATTTCTAAAACTCATGTTTGCTGATACCGTATTTCTTGTCCTTAGGGAGAAGAACTGAATTTGTTCTTCTACATATACACCATTCCTGACAGTATGGATCTATTACAGATCTTTTCTACCTGACTTGCAGTTTTCCATGCTGGTTATTTTATGTTGGTTCCCTGAGACCACTTCTGTGTCTACACCTGTCTGAACACATCAACTGTTGGACCCCAGTTTTGCCATGGTTTTTAAAACTTCCATTTTCACTTTTTTTCCCTATCCTTTGTATTATCCACATTTGCCTAATATCCGGAATCTTCATTTATATTGAAAACTGAAGCAAAGACTCATTTTAGAGTACATCTCTGCTGTCTTCAGTTCTTTTTTCATCCTAAAGAAATAGTGCATTGCATTTTTCTTTCCATATACTCTTTTATGAGGCTGAAAAATGCTGGCTACTTTTCCATTTGAATTTTTATGATTCTCACTTTATTACACTTCCTGACCTCTAATAAACATATTAGCTTTCATTATCAATCCTTTTTGTCATTTTTGTAGCCTGTGCTTATCTTTTATATTTTATCTGGCTAGGCCCAGCACTCCTGACACTGTGACATTAAGAACCTTAGTTGCCAGCCTATTTTTATGTTTCGATCCATTGAATTTGGTCAGTATAAAGTTCTTTTAAAAAATCATTGTAAGCTCTTTAAATGTTGTAGCTATGCTGTAAGAAAATCAGGCTGTGTAATTTTTTTTTTTTTTTTTGTATGCAGTGTGTACATAGTGACTCTCATACAGTTTAATAGAATCATAGAATGGCCTGGGTTGAAAAGGACCACAATATTCATCCAGTTCCAACCCCCTGTTATGTGTAGGGTGGCCAACCAGCAGATCAGGCTGCCCAGAGCCACATCCAGCCTGGCCTTGAATGCCTCCAGGGATGGGGCATCCACAACTTCCTTGGGCAACCTGTTCCAGTGCCTCACCACCCTCTGTGTGAAAAACTTCCTCCTAATATCTAACCTAAACCTCTCCTGTCTCAGTTTAAAACCATTCCCCCTTTTGCTTTCACTATCCACCCTCGTAAAAAAAAAAAAAAAAAAGCTGTTCCCTCTCCTGTGTATATGCTCCTTTCAAATATTGGATGAGGTTTCTCAGGGCCTTCTCTTCTCCAAGTTAAACAAGCCCAGTTCCCTCATCCTTTCTTCATAGGAGAGGTGCTCCAGCCCTCTGAACATCTTAGTTTCTAAATCTTAATCTCACCACTTTTTCTTTATGGCTGCAATAACAGCAGCATTTCCTCTTTCTTTTCTATCCATCCATTTCCCTCCTGATTTTTCTTCATTTGTGCTTCCCTCATTCATCTGAGGTGCTCAGCTGTCTTTACGTAGAGCTGTAAGCTTTGCTTGAAACAGAGATTGCCTTTCCACTGGAATTTTGTATCCCATCAGTTAACTCTTTTTCTCAATGCAACTAGTGCACTGGGTCTCTCTGTCATGAGCAGTCTAAATAGAGAATAATAGTCTGCTCCTGCTATTTACTGCTGCTGCTCTAACTCAGTTAATGGATCCGTGCAGCAGTGCTGACAAGTTCTAGTTCAGCTGCTCAAGGAGTTTATTACACATTTAGATTTAAAGCTTGCTTTCAGAGGGCTCTAAGTGAGCTCAGTACAGAGCTGTCGTTCCTCTCTACATTCTAACACCACTTTTGATCTTGGAAACCATTTGAAAGAGTCACCAGTACCCACTGGCTCCTTTTGAATTCCTATAGTACATACATATTCAAAGAAGTTTAGAAATGAAGCAAGGAAAGTATCACACAGTTCAGCAGTGAGCACAGATCAGTGTGTAAATAATAAAATCACACCCAGGTCAAATTCTATGGACCAGTGAAATGTTTTCAGTAGACATGCTGGCACTACCAGAAGATCAGTGAGAGCAGATCACCTATTAAATCTGAGAGGCAGGTTGTAATGCCAGTCAGTACATTTAAA